GCAACTATATGCACAGTAAATAACTGCCAATTCATGCATCCACAATAGAGTTCAAAATTAGTCTTCAAGTGGCAGGGAGATGTTTATAGCGTCCCCTGGAGGCATGGAGGGAGGTGGCTGCCATTTCTGGCAAGGATTTGACTCAGAAGAGAAAGAGCCCAGATCAAATTGCTGCAGATGAAGCAACTCGGCTAAAAGCCAGGCCATCAGGAGGGCAGAGGGGAATGCTGTGGGTTTTCCAGGTGATGCCATTAGCAGTTGGGTTAGAAGACAATGTGCCATAATGACACGGTAATGAATGTAATTGATGCCACTCTGTTAAGGAAAGGGGCACTTCCTTCATTCAGCCATCCTTTCTTCCTAGGAGGCAGACAGTCATGGGGAAGGCAACTAGGGAAGGAGTGCTCTGGGCTTTATTTTCTGCTTTGATCTGCTCCTTGTCCTCCCTCAGCTAGAGCTCTCTGTGCTGGCAATTCAGGGTCATGGCCCTCATACATCTCAGTCGCTGCGCACCTGCAGGAGGTGACTTGCAGCCAGGTGCCCATGGGACTGAGTGGCACACCCACCCTGGCTCCCATCTGCAAAGGACCTTGGGGAACAAGCAGCAGCTGGAAGACACACTCCTTTTGTCATGGTCACTGGCCTTTGGGACTCTACAGGGATGTGTAGGACCAGACGCGGTGTCAGCCGGAAGCTGCTCCTGCAGTGCTGAGCTCAGCGCTCACGCAGGGCCACCATGCCCTGGCCATGTCACTACAGCCTCCTTCCCCTTGTGTTTGCTGTTTTTTCCTTTTTTTTTTTTTTTGTCTTTTTGAGATGAGGTCTTGCTATGCAGTTCAGGCTGGCCTTGAACTCACTTTGTAGCCCAGGCTAGTTTTGAATTTGCAGTCATCCTCCTGCCTCAGCTTCCAGAATGCTGAGCTTATAGGAGCTTACACACCACATATGGCTTCTTGCCTTTTTATTTTCCTTGCTTGTTGTACTTTTCTTAAGCATTCCAAACTTCTTCTGGGTTTATTAGCTCTTACCATTTTCCTTTATTTTTCACCTATACTTTCTACCCACCCTGGAAAGCTAGAGCAAAAATTAAATATGACACTTACCTGGGAAGAATGTTATTTGTTTCTGCTTTATACTGTGCCTTTTTTTTTTAAGAGAAAAGAAAAAGCCTCAAGTTTCCTACAAGATGACCCATACACTGTCTGTAAAGGAAAAACAAAACAAAACGAAACACATACACACACACACACACACACACACACAGAAAGAAAATTCATCTAAAGCGAAGCAGATAAGATGTAAGATAATCATTCTTGAAGTCAGGGCTGGTCATGATTGTGATCACTTGCATGATAAATCTAAGACTGGGCTTCCAAAGGCAAATGTAATGAGCTTCTGTCTACTTGTTCTGGGAGGTGAATACTAGGTGAGCCTAAAGAAAATCTTACCTGATAATAAGATTATGATGATTAAAAACAATTTTTGCTTGGCTAGAATCTCCAGCACTTGCTGACTTCTTTGCTTGCATTGCTTTGTGTCAGTTTTCAGTTATTATGGCAAAATACCAGAGGAAAATCAACTATAAGAAAGAAAGGCTTATTGTGGCTTACAGTCGCAAAGGTTGTCTGTGGTCAACTGGTCAAGTTGGTTTTAGGCCCACAGAAGGGCAAAAAATGATGGTGAGATCACACCCTGGAGTAAAACTGCCCTCTCCCTGGTACCAGGGAAGCAACAAGAGGCAGGAGGGGGCAGTGTCCCCATAGCCTCTCAAGGGCACACGCCCAAGAACCCAGCTTCCTTCCCTCAGGCCCTCTCCTAAAGGTGCCATTGTTCTAGGCAGCTGAATTAGATAGAAATGTTACAGGCAGTCAGACAGGGCTGGGCCCTCAAGGAGACATATCAGAAGACGAAATACCTTGCAATTGTGAGAGAGATGGATGCTCTTGCTGTGGGCCAGGCCTAAAGACCAAAGATCGAACAGATGCGCACTTCCCTACAGATAAGCATTCAGAATTGATCCTCCCTTTGAGGAAGCCAGGAGGAGTCACTAATCCAAATTCTACCAGCTACTGGATAAACTCTTATCCTCTATTCATGCCTACTTGCTATGTGACTCGCTTCCCCATTTGGTCCTAGATTTAATCAATTTTACCTGAGCAATGGTGTTTGTAATCTTGTTGGTTGACCATAGTTTTGTCCCATCTCATGCCCAATTTCCCATGTTGTCCACCTTAGATCCACATGGTTTTACTCTATAAAAGGTCCTGGAAATCAACCCCCAGCGTGCAGTGCTGCCCTGCCCCCGGGGTGTGCTAAGACAGTGACTGACACTGGGTGTGGTGGCCGTGCCTGTAATCTCAATGTTTAGGAGGCTGAAAACAGGAGGATCACTACCAGTCAGATCTGTGTAGTGAGAGCCTGTAGACCCTGCACTAAATACATTGGAAAAAAAAAAAGTCCCTAGAAGAGACAGCTTCCTGGGGACAACCTGATCGTGCCCGCCTTCTGTCCCTGTTAGACAAAAGCTTTCTTTCCCCCAATAAATATATTCTACTCTTAACCTCTGTTTGTTCCTAAAATTCATTCATCGGTTTTAGAGAACGCAATCTCATCCCGGGTACCTTTCAAGTTGGGACTTTCATTTCCCCTATATCGCCGCTACCTCGCGGTGGTGTCGCGGGCTGTCTTTGGGAACACTCCTGGATCGGAAGCACAGCACCTCATCTAACCTTCGCACCAGCGTTAAACGACAGGGTGGGGCAGTGGTCCCGGGTGGGAATTCCTGAGCTGGAGAAAGTCCGCGCTTGGATTCCAGCCTTGCCACTCACCAGCTACGTGACTTTGCACCAGCCTGCTGCCCTCCACCATCCATAAAACTGAAAGTGATTTAACGTACACGAAGCACGCAGATCCTGGCTCTCGGTGAGAATTCCCCTGTGTTATCATTATTCCTACTTGACAGATAAGGAAATGGGGTCTTGGAGAGGTTAAGTGGCTGGCCCAGAGTGCCACGGCCTGATCCGATTGGCACCAGGGCTGATGTGACCCTCTTAACCCGGAAACTCCGGAGGCGAGAGAACAGGGTTAGCCCGGAGCAGCCCGTGTTCGGCTCCCTCGAGAGAGCGTCCTGCCTGCGGACTCTTTCGGTGCCTCCCTGCCGTTCAGTGTGCCTCGTCCTCTGGACAGTGTCTAATTTCAATAGGTCCCTGCATGAAGTTTAATGATGAAGTTGTCTCCAAGTCACACAGTGTGACTATGGGTTCTCTATTTACATTCAATCACAGCCACCAGTTTCTTTTCAAATACAGTTGAACACTGATGAAATTTAGGTCAGTGTCGACCCGAAGGTCCACTTCAATATCATGTCTTCTAGGGAACAATGCTTGCTTTGCTATTTTCTCTACCCATTGTGCACGAATGTCCTCAGCGGCAGCGAACTTAGGTGAAATGTGGGTGTAATTCCTATACTTCCCACCAGATGTCCCACTCGTTCCTGCTATTTGACTGGCTTTCCTCGCCCCGTTCAAGGGGAAGAGGATTGAGGTGTGTGTGTTGCGGTGGGGTGCGGGTGAGGGATGGACGGGGGTGGCGTGTGTGTGTGTGTGTGTGTGGAGGGATTGAGGCAGGAGGGAGAGATTGTGACAAGACTTCCAGATGCTGCTTCTTGTCCCCAGACAAAAAGAATTTTTTTTCCCCATTTTTTTTTTTTTTCCTCTGATGCATAGATGTCTGTCCGGTCTCTAAAATTCAGAAAGCTTCTATCTCTGCTAAAGAGCTCGTGTCTGACCAGAACCCTCCATCTCTGTGCTCGAGGCTGGAGCCACTGTCTGCAGCCCCTTCTGTTTGCCCAAGAGCCCCTTCGATCCTCCTTCCCCCACTGGGCTCTCTTTTTTCCTCTAGGTTGTGATTGAAAAAGAGATGGGGGGCTGGGGAGATGGCTCAGTGTAATAAGCGCCTCCCTGGCAAGTGCAAGGGCCTGAGTTCAATCCCTAGTTCCACCAAAAAGAAGGGGCAGCTCCTCCTGCCGGAGAGCGACGTGTGGCTGTGGCCCTGACTAGCCGTCTTGCCAACAGTGCAGAATTCGTCCGTATTAAGACTGGTGTGGTGAGAACCCCCCCCCCCCCCGCCCCCACCACCTGTTCTCCAACACGATTGCCACTTGCTTCTCATGGGCGGGGGCGTAAGGGAATTTAGTAGCTGGAACATTTCACATTCTGAAATTTGTCTCTCATCTCTCATCCAAGTGGTGAACTTTGTACCTGCATGCCTGCCCCACACTCCCTCCCTCCCTCCCTCCCTCCCTCCCTTCTTTCCTTCCTTCCTTTTTCCTTCCTTCCTTTCTTTTTTCCTTCTTTCCTTCCCTCCTGCCTTCCTTCCTCTTTTCCTTTGCCAGGTCCTACACACCCTGGGGAGGCTGGGGTCAAGGAGAAAATAGGCAACACAGTCTTTCTTACAGATGTTGTCTTTTGTACTGGGCCTCTCTGGAGCCCTTTGAGCAGCATCAGAAGTCACCCCAGGACACCCCCAGGCATTCATTATAGCCTAGAGGACCCCTATAAAACCGCCCTCTACACAGCCTGAAACCAGTGCCCTGACTGTAGGTTGTTCTCCAGCCAGAGATCTGCTGGGCATGTGGGTGGGATGCCTTCATTTAGCACTGAATTTAGAAGGCTTGTTGGGGACTCCTTCCCCCATGAAAGGCCTTGGTAACAAAAACCAGAACACAGTGCCACAGTTTCTACTTTCCGCATCCACCGCTGCATTGTATGTGTGGCTTTTAATATTTGGAGAGCCTTTGCCAATACACATTTTCTCCTGTACTGGGAAACAGGAGCCCAGACGTGATGTATTATTGATAGGATTGTAATTTACTCCTCTTGAGTTGTATCTACCATGTGTACCATTAGCACAAAATACCGAATTATCTGCTGTTGCATATATTTGTCTATTCAGGTCTGACTCAATAATATTTGCCTTTTGCCTCAATAAAAGATCATGAATGCAGAAAGCAGGGTAATATTATTTTTTGTTGTTGCTCTTGCAGGGAATTTTGATGAAAACATTTTCTGTGTTGTGCTCTTGGTGAGCCATGCTTTGCTATGAGGTTACAAGACAGAGAAGGGTGGGGGTTGAACGGGAAGATGGATGGGCAGCTCACAGCGTGCTCGCTGGCTCTTCGTGCTGCCACCTTGCCCGGCAGACTGCTCCTGGCCAGGCTCTGGGCTTTCTCCATCTACAAAGGAAGTCAACAATCTGTGCCTCTCGGGGTGGGGAGAAGGGCTGTGGGGCATGGACCAGGCAGACCTTGAGAGACACAGAGTCTTCTGGTCAGTTTTGGGCCCTGTGGCTTGGCCCACTCCTCAGCTCCTCAGCCAGTAATACAGAAATACACGAGCACATTTCTTGCTTTAAAAGGATTCCAGGTCAGAGGGCTCCAACCACGGTGCAAATGGAAATGTCACATCCTGTCTGCTTGGTGTTCTCTTTGTTCTGACCTTGGGCCCTCTTTCAGCGCCTCGAATGGGAGATGTTTGCTGGTTTGTTCGCTCCATACTCTGACTGCTACAACTCCCCCTGGAATTCACTCAGTAATTTTTATGAGTAAACAGGGTTTTAAAACATGCCTGTGGCTTGCCTTCCTAATCCCCTTTAGAGGTTCAGAATGAATGGGTGGGGGGTGGGGAGAGACAGGGACTGGGCTTTAAATCTGCATTAACTTGGAGACGGAAGACATGCTTATCCCTCCTGTTTCCTGCCTCCATCTGTGCCTCCATCCTTTCTCTAGGTTAGGGGGCCTGCTGCCCGCTTTCACAGTCGTGGGGTGGGGGGCCAGGCAAGGAGTCCATATTCAAAGCTGGGGCTGTCTTTATAGAAGTCTCCTTAGAAAACACCGCTTGGCTGGGGGGGTCTGCTGAGTTTGGCTGTCTGGGGCACATTCTGGAGGCAAAATCGGTTTTCTGAAGGCCTGTTGGAGCCAGGCTTTGTTAGTGCATGTCTCTTTGGCCACAGTGCTTCCAGGAGGGAGACCTCTTTACCTGAGGAAGGGGAGCAACTAATTCAAAGCTTTGCCAGGGTGTCTCCTTTGGCCTCAAGTGGCTTCGTGTGTCGTCTCCTTCAGTAAAGGAGAGATGTGGACTTAAAAAAAAATACCAATCGCACAAGAACATAAAGCCACTGAAATCAGTGCTAAATCTATCAAAGCAAATCATAGACCTTGACAGATGAGAAGTAGTATTTGTTTTTTTCTTCCCAGATTTCTACCAAGCCTGGTGCTTCAAGCATATGTCTTGAGGAGAAGAGACCCATATAAAGGCAATTACAATTGCAGAATGATGAATGTCGGATCTGACATTTTTATGTGTCAAATATGTTTAACTGCATTAACCTTTGCAGAATTTACACCATGTTCTCATATATGTCTTGTACAGCATCTGAAATATCTGCAATCTGCCTTCACTTAAATCTTATTTACATTTATTTTACTACAATATAAATGGATTTTTAAAAATCTTAATAGCGTTTTTTACCCCATTCTGCAGGTCCTTTGACACTGTGGGGAGTCAGAGGGCAGCAGAGTTCTTTGCTGATTGCAGATAGAGCCCCAGTCACCCGCCTGGGGACCCCAGGCAGAGGGAGCCAGTGCTGATGCTTGCAGCCCTGTCTGGGATTCCAGTGCTCAGGGGGATGGGCAGTCAGATCTCTCAGCACGAAGCACAGAGCAGAGAAGTTCCATGGCAGATGGGCAACTTTTAATTTTTACACATTACAGAAAACACACATTTCAACATCAATTTTAGAAAAGAAACACTCAGTGGTTTCTATTTGTGGTGCTTTTCCCAGCCTGCCCATTGTCCACCCCTTTGCAGAAAAGCATGTGCCCCAGATGTCCTCCGGCAGACACACTCTCATGGGTGGGAACATAAGGCTCCCAGGCCAGCGTGGGCCTCACTGTGGCCACCTCTGCTGCGCTGGCCCTGTCGTTGGCAGCTCCACGGCTCCTGAGCTTCACTCCACTGAAGTCTGGTTGCAGCAGACAGACTCCGGTGGAATGAAGGACAAGAGAACACGTGGATCGTCCAGGGACCTTCTTCTCAGGCTGCTCTACCTGGCAACCACCCTGCACACAAGCCTATGTCTGGCCAGAGGTTGTCAGGACCCTCCAATCACAGCCTTGGGAGAAGTTGAGAACCTGGATAATTATATCTTCCCTTAAGAATCATAGGCAGGGGGTTGGGGAGTGAACCCCCCCTTGGCAGGGCATTGGGGAGTGAACACCTACCAGTACCTGGCTTACAGTGAGACAAAGCTGAAAGCTGTAGTGCTGGGGAATCAGGGCTATTTCTCACTTATCATGCAGCTGCCCCCCACAATGTGAATCCTCCCGTGTTCAAATATTTGGGATGCTGGCTGTCCTCTCCCATGTTGAACCTGGTGTGGCTGGTCCTGTCTAGATTCTGCAACTGACTCTGAAGTCCAGCTGCTCTAAGCTTGCCTGAGGTGTGGGAGGCATGGGCAGGGGTACTCTTCTTCAAAAGCTCTGTACAAGGGGCCTGGGTAGCACTCTGCAGGCCAGCGTGCCAGCATAGAATCACCAAGTGGAGGGCAAGGAACTGAGGCCTGTTGTAGGGGTAGGATGGACGGGGCGTTTTACCTAGGGAAGCCAGCCACCAGGATCCCAGAAAGGGCACAACTACTTCTCCAAGGGCACAGGGATGAGGACTGAGGAGTGACAAGAGGAGTCCAGCCTGGTTTCCAGAGACTGAGCCAAACAGGGAGGACATGAACTACTGCAGAGGTTTTCGTGCTCTCTGAAAAGAAATGCCCACCAACCTGCTGGGAAGGCCTCACCACCCTGGCTCTTCCTTGCTGCGTTCAGACATGCCCAGGGCTTTGCATAAGCCCCATAAAAGGCTGTTCTCAGCACCAACATGCAGACTGGGTGGGTGCAGGCAATCCACCTTGTTGTTTGGAATCCTCGCTTCCTACGACTTGTTCTGACCTGAAACGGGGAGGATCTACCCACTGGCGGGTGTGGTGGCTCCTCCTCCTGCAGTCAGCCCAGGGCTGGGAGGCCTCACTGAAAAGGCCTTTGAGCATGAGTGTGGGGTTTCTAGTTGCTGCTGGGGGAGGGTCCCCTGTCTTTGTCCTCGATGTGAAGATTTTGTCACAGGGAAGGCAAAGTTTGCTGAGGGCCACGGACCTGGCCACTGAGAGGAAGAAGTTCAGTTCATCCTCTCCTGCTCAGCCTTCTAAGGGATACCCACAGCTCCCACCTGAGAGAAACGTGTCCTGCTCGGGACGATCTAGAAGACATAACCTCCCTGCGCTGCCTCCAACTCACAGCTCACTCAAAGGAAAGATGGAGGCTGTCTCTTGGCTCTGATAAATAATGGCGGGAGAGGGGGGTAATAGCAGTTCTGTACAGAAGAATCCTTGGCCTTCTAATTGTATTTCAGTTCAACTTGTGAAGCAAAAAGATCAATTCTTCTTCCAAACCCACCTTACCACACTCCTACTCTCCCAGTATGCACAGTGGCCCGGTTTCTTCGGTTCCTCAGTTCAGGGGGCAGAGAGCCTTGCCCCACATGGGGGGGGGTCCTTCCCTTCCAGATGAGAGCTGCAGACAGGACAGTGTCACTGCGGGAGGCCATGAAGCGGCACTGATGTTAGCAAGCGCAAAGCAACAGACGCTCTCCTCCTCCCCTTCCCCTTCCCCTACAGAGCTGTAGCTGCTACAGGGCAGGGACAAAGAAAAGGCAAGCAGGAGCTTGTAGTAGGACTCTTGACCTACTTCGAGCCCCATGCTGAAACTTAGGGTTCTTCTCCCCACTATTTGCCAGCTTAGTCTCCCAGTGGCCTTTGACTTCATATGTGTGGTGCCCAGTTGGGCTGAGGAGCAAACCGCACAAGTGTTGGGCTACACAGGAAGTCTCCTCCATGGCTGCCCTCCTGCCCTTCCTGCTCCCGGCACTGAGCCCTCACGGTGTCCTAGTACCAGCAGCTTGGATGCAGCAGCCAGACTGGAAGCAGCTCCTGAATCTCCCTTGAGCGCTGCACCTTGCACCCCAGAACTGAAAGCCACCCCCAGCCTCCCATTCCTCTAGTGCAGGACATCTCCTGAAATCAGACAGAAGAATGTCCTTGGTTCTGGCCTGCTCAACAAGCGCCCTGCCACAGCGGCTTCCATTATCACCCTGGTTTTACTGCCAGGGATCCTGGGAATCCTTGGGATGACTCCCAAGTGGCTGGGGATTTGGCTAAAATGCAGCAGGTTCAGCTATTTTAGCCTTGATGGAAGTTGGTGACTGACTTCCAATGAAGACAGCCCTCTCCGCTATTCTTTTCCGTTCCCAGGAACCTCCTCATCTAGGCACTTGGCACTGGCTTGACAAAGCCCCCCCCCCCCCCAAAAAAAAAGTCTAGAGATCTCAGACTCACCTGTGCATATGCATCTCTGAACCTTCAGGTGTCAGGGCCTGGCTTTGCGTTTGATGTAAAAGAACAAATTGTTGTAATGAAAATACAGAGCAAAGAGAGGGCTAAAGAGTCATGAATGTGAGAGGGGAAGAAGAGAATCTCCAGGCTTCTGTTGCCCCCAAGGACTGAGGACAGGAAGAGAGGCTCACACTCACTGCACAGAGCACCCAGTGCAGCAGGCATGCGCAGGGCAAGCAGCTCCTGGGGACAGGTGGGGGTTTGTCCCAGCAGCGCAATTCTCCCTGCCCAGAGAGTAGGAAAGCAGAGGGAAGCAGAGTGGAGGAGGGGGCTAAGGGCAGCTGAGAAGCAGAGCCATGGAGCGCAGTCCAGATTCAGTGGAACTTTTAGAGTAGATGTTGGCAATAGACAAAAAAGAAAAACTGGTTTTTCCTAGGCACAAGTGAAGAGGGAGCAGCCCATTTCAAGGAGGTGGTACTAGTTTCACTCTTTATTTATGCACCTCTCTGCAAAGCTTCTGGTTACCTGCCCAGTCCAGCCAATGGAGAACCAGCCCAGCGCAAGCTCCGCCTCGCAGAACCCACACCCAGGGGCTATGGACTCTGCACACTGGCCATACTGTCTTATTTTCCTGTAAAAACAGGAGAGGGAGGGAAGGTGGCTAACACCCCAGAGATGAGGAGACAGGTGCTGCAGGTCATCTGAGCTTTGTCCCTGAAGGCTGTGGCCTCACAGAAACTGGGGAGGAGGGAAAGAAGATTCGGGTATCCTATCTTGGCTCAGCAAGGCTGAGGGTGTTCGTGTGTGCATGCTCTATGTTGTGCATGTGTGTGCTGTGTGTCCATGTGTTGTGCTGTGCACTGTGCATGCTGTGTATGTGCCCTGACAAGCATGTGTATGGGCAGCAGGAATCAATGCCACCTAAGCTGGTAGCCGTGACCTGGACTCCTGGCTCACAGTGTAGTTCAGGGATCACATAGAATTGGGCTAGCCCTTCTAGGCTGGGCTGCAAGGAGAGGTCTGAGGCCTAGCTGGACCTGGCTTTTAGCATGCAGTGAATGTGCTGCTTTTCTTGTGGGAAACAAAGGGTTTTTATAACCCAAGACGCATTGCAATCCTGCTTTGTTTCCATTCCTTAGGGATGGGGAAAGACTGCCCCTGTGAGAGGGGAAGCTGGGAAGACATTAGGAAGTGGGTCCAACACCACTTATTGTCTTGCCCTACCACACTTCAGCTCTCCCTCCTTCACCCCCTCCCACCTTTCCAACCCCCCCGTGGTGGTTGTGGTTGGGGTCTTCAAGCCTCTCATATCAGTGCACCTGGCCTAGGAGCCTGGCCTGCTGCTCTTGAGGAGAATCCCTGCTGTGTGGTAAGAGAGGATCCCTCTATTTTTAGGGGCAGGAGGGAGATCAGGAATCCGGTCCACAGAATATCTAGGTCCTGTCCTCTTCCGCCACCTGCTTGCTAAGATCTTAGCCATCAGCTGACCTGAAGTCTCACCACAGACTGGGGCACAGAGATGTGGAGAGGCTGTCTGCCCAGGGTGCATGGCCACCATGGGGTCAAGACCTGTTGGAGCAGTTAGGGGCTCCTTCCCTAACCGGGCCTGGTAGGCTGGGCCAGGTCATTCCTCACTCCTCAGAGAAGGAGAAAAGGCTCCACTGGTTAGGGAATACACCCTCAGGGGAAGGCATCACAGAGGAGGCAGCTTTGAGCTGGCCATGAGGAGGTGAGGCAGGCAGTGGGGAGCCAGGCTGAGGCTGCTGAGAGGCGCGGCCCTCTTGGCTAGGCCTGTGGCCTCCTTCAACTAACTACTGAAGAATGTGACTGCCCCACGGCGGGGGAAGAAGGGCCAAAGGCAAGACCAGAGACCAGTCCTGTGGGCACTACTCTTCCCCCTGTGGTAGTCCTGGACCTCTGCATTTGTTTAGGGAGAAGTGGAACCACTTTCTCCCAGCTTGATACAGAGTACCTTCCTGCCGATGATGGCCACTTTCTGCCCCTCAGTGTCTCCCCAGGCCCAAGAGGGAGCTGGTGGATGGTGGATGGTGGACGCTGGCTACATGGGTGGCGCCTGGAGCCGGGGGAGCTGCGGGGCTGCAAAGTAGCTCAGGCAATGAGTTCAAGATGTACTCCCTTCTCTGGTACCAGGGCCCACCCCAGCTCTGGGCGTTGCTGTACTGGGCTGGGTCTGTCTGCTATGGGGCAGGGCGTAGGGTGTGGGGACTGGCACAGACTTCCTCAGCCACCCTGAGGAATATCCAAGTGACGGTAGGCGATCTGTCAGCTTCTCCCCATCCTAGTTTCAGTCACAAATGCCCCACCCCACCCCACATTCCCATGCCAGGATCTCTCTGTCAGGCATCTGGCCCCCCATGCTCATCTCCCCACACCAGTCCCTGGTCCTGGTGGCAGAAGTCAGGGACAGGTAATTGCTTTGTGTGTGTGTGTGTGTGTGTGTGTGTGTGTGTGTGTGTGTAATGGGATTGAACTCAGGCCCTTGTGCTTGCCAGGCAAGTGTTTATTCTACTGAGCCATCTCCCTGGATAGGGACAGGTAATTACAGTGTCTCCTCCCTGGCTGATACAGCACCCTGTCCTCCACCACCATGGGCCTCCTGCAGGCTGCATGGATTTCTAGGAGTGGAATAGGAAGGGAAAAGTGACAGAGGGAGACTGCTCCCCGGAGCCTAGGGACATCAGGGTCCTGTGGAGGGAGAGTCCTGGAGGTGCCAGTAGGGAGGACCTCTCCCTGGGTGCTTCTTGGCTAGGGTTTGGGTCCTGCAGGTATGCATGCTAGTTCTGCCACTAGTTAGGCTCTAGCAGCAGCCCAGAAGGAAATAGAAAGTGATGTGGGAGGGGAAAATGTGGCTTAGCTGCAGCATAGGTAGAAAAGCACAGTTCAGAAATATAGGCTGAGAGTTTCACGGGACTGAACAGGGAAATATGGGTGCTAAATGGACAAATCTTTTTGGTTGGATTGTTAGAAATATGAGACAGAAAATAAGGGAGGTGATGTCCCTACTCTGTGCTGATCAGACAGCGGCTACTGGATGCAGTTATGACTTTCATGTGTTAAAGTGAAACCCAAAAGTGAGAAAAATGTGAGCTGGATGGTAAATGGGCTTAGAAACAGGTCACCTTGGGGGCAGGGATAAGGCAATGAGAGGTTCAGTCCAGATTCTCTCTAGCCCTGTGGGGGTAGAACCAGGGACTACTTCCTTTGGTGTCACCAGATCTCTCATAGATACCTTCTTCAGAACAGCCCACTGTGGACACAGGCAGCGGTAGACACGGAGGATGCTGGAGTCCATACAGCAAGGACACAGTCGCTCCCTGAGGTGGGAGAGGGTGCCAGGCTGCAGCGTGTCCTCCACCCCCAGCCTGGGACTTCCCTGGGGCTCCATCTGCCTGCAGGGCCTCTCTCTGAGCAGGTGGGGATGAGGGTGGGAGCCAGCCCAGTCACCTCCCATCGAGGACACAGGCTGCTTGAGCCCAAAGCCTTCTGCTGGTTGGACTTGACTTTCCTAAAGTGTCATGTGGAGCTTGGGCTGGGGCTGGCCTGGGTGGCCCGGCCTCTGTAAACTGGCCACCAAGCTTTGTGGCGTAGAGCACCTGTGGCCTGTGCACAGCACCAGGAACACTGGACAGCAGGAGGGGAGCGAGTCCCCACCTTCCTTCTGCTCTGGACTGTTAAGTCACTTTTCTGAGAAGCAGCACTGTGCTCCTGGCACTCAAGAGGGCCTGGCACAGGACAGGTGCTCAGCAGGCACTTGTCCTACCAAGACAGTGATTGACGGTGATCTGAGGGAAGGGCAGTGGGCGCCTCTGTTGCACAAGGAATCTGCTTTGCTTCCTCTCCCTTGGACTCCTGTCCTGCCCCCCTTGTGTTCTCAGCGGCCACTCCAGGCTGTTTTCCCACCCTGGGAGCTGTGACAGATTGGCCACGCTGCTGGAGCAGTATCCTTCGCCTCCTGATGGGGCTCATCCTCTGGGGCACTCCGGAGTGGAGGCACCACCTGCCCTATTGCACCCTCTCTTCGAAGGCCCCTCCCTCCACCCCAGCCAGGCCTACCCTTCCACTGCTGCAGACAGAAGAGGGAGCCCAGGGGCCATCCGAGCTCTGCAAGTCAAAGGCAGTTTTCCTAAGTGCAGGGTTCTGCCCTGTGTGGCATCTATGAGCCCTCATTAAGCACCACACACAGCTCTCCAAGTTGCTTGCAGCCTTCATGCTTGATTGGGATTTTATTTTTCTGAATTAACATGCAATTACCTTAGTAAAACTAAAAGGTAGGCACAATCTTTTTGTGTGTGCACAGTACTGGGGATTGAACATAGGACCTTCATATTTCTTTATTTCTTGAGACGATCCTCCTAAGTCACTCAGTTGCCCAGGCTACTGAGGCTCCAACTTTGGATCCTTCTGCCTTAGCCTCCCAGAGTGCTGGGGTCACAGGTGTGTATCCTTTCTCCTAGACTGGAAAGCATTCCCGGCATTGCTGCCAAAACACTTCATGTGCAAAAACACTAAGAGAGCCCCAGAAATTCTGGACTGGAGAGTCTGCTTGCTGGCTCTCAGGATTTCGAAAATTAGATGGGCAGAGGGTGCAGAGGAAAGACTGCTGTCTCTTGTTAATTTGTGTCTCACTGAACACCTATTGAGCAACTACTGTGTACCAGATTCTTTCCCAAGGGCTGAAGAGAAAGATGAGTCCTGGCCCCACAGACTGTGGTGTGGCAGAGGGAGGAGTGTGTGAAACAGCAAAGGGAACATGTGACCCTGCTGCAGCTCTGTGGGAAAGGAGTTCAGGAAGGCTTCCGGCAGGAGTTTCCACCCAGCTGCGCGTGCGCACAGACACTCAGGAGCCTGTGAGAGAAGGAAGCGTAAGGGGGAAGGGTGAGGTCCACTTCTGAGGTAACAAGCAGAAAAGTGCAGGCACCGTCCTGGGCCATGGGTTTGCCACCTGGGGGGTCTGAGAGAAGGATGCAAGGGGATGGAGGGAGCCCGCCCTGTCTCAGGGAGAGCAGCCGAGCGGGCCGCAGCTCCTCGTGGGCATCTCTGCAAGATGGAGCTGTCCAAGTAATCAGTTTGGCAATCTCTGTTGGAAGCCTTGCCTCGATTTTGTATGTTTCATGAGATGCCAGTTAAAATTTGCTAAATAAAGAGGAAAGGTTGGCAAGAGAGGGCCAGCGTTAATGGGGAGAAAATGACCGATGGGTCAGTAAAGGGAGACAGGCAGGCTGTGAAGCACCAGGTTGCCTAGCTCAGGGCCTTTGGGGTGTGTGTGTGTGTGTGTGTGTGTGTGTGTGTGTGTGTGTGTGTGAATGTTGATTCTTAGCCAGGCTTGCTGCACTCACAAAGATGGCTAGGTGGGCAAAAGGGCTGAGGTAAATGAGAGCAGGAGGCCTGCGTGACTGCAAAGCCTTTGTGAGGAGACAGGTTCCAACAC